AAACAAAATGGGCAATATATCATTGATTGATCTTTGTTCTTTATATAAATAAATGACCTTTGAAAAACATAGACAAAATATGTCATGACTTTTCCGACAACTCAATATTAAGAGGGAGCACAGTACAGCGATTAAGGGCTTAACTCTGGTACCAGACTATGTGGCTTTGAATCCTGGCTCTGACATTTGCTAACTGTGTGTGACCTTGGGAAGTCACTTAACCTCCTCAAGTCTTATGGGAATTATGGAATAATATTAGTCAATTGAGTGAGTTAATACATGTAACTAAAGCATTCAGAATAGTGCCTGGCATACATGGGGAGGAGGGGACAAGCAAAGGAGCTAGGGGACCAGAGAAGAATAGGATCAAACCAGATGTTGTGTAAAAAGTTCTCAGATACATACAGAATTCTAATCCCAAATTGAGTTCCAGGTCCACGGGGTGAGGGGAGTGTCAACCACAGTAGCCAAAATAGAGCTGCCTAACCAGTTTTCTGTATTGGTCTTGAAGAGTAGCTGGTGTGAAGGCTTGGGAAGAAGGATTCTAAGCAGGGAAGTGACATGGCCAGATCCAGGATTTCCCACAATGGCCAATCTCCATGCTTTACATGGAATGAGAAAGATACTTGGCCACACGGTCAATGATGTCCAGACTTTTCTACCCGGCAAAACCTCCCAGGGAAGCCAATATCCTGAGGCAGAATTTAAATGTATTCTTCCAGGGCCGGCCGAGTGGCTCATTGGTTAAGAGTTGGCTTGGGAGCATGAGCTCTGAGCAGCAGGGCCGCCGGTTCGGATCCCACATGGGCCAGTGACACTGCCCTCTACAGCTAAGATGGTGAACAACAGCTCAACCTGGAGCTGGGCTGCCATGAGTTGCCGGTGACAGCGTAGGCTGCAGTGGGGCTGCAGTGGGCTGCCGTGAGCTACTGTGAGTGGCCAGCAGCCAGCGTGAGTGGCCATCCAGTGGCTGGCGACCGATCTGCCTCAGCCGGGAAGAGCACAATGATCACAATACCAACATGGGCCACTGAAGCGACATCCTCCACAACTAGACTGAAGAACAAAAAGGACAGCAACTTGTCTGTTCCCCTTCCCTGATTCCCCAATGCCATTCCCTCCTTCAATTCCCCAATTAAAAAATCTAAAAAAAAAAAAGTATTATTCTGTGAATACAATGGGTGTCATGACAATTTATCAATTTATACACATTAGGTGTGGAGGAAGGAATATTTAAGAGGGAAGAACATTTAAGTAATATCGTTTGCATTTAAAATCTTAACTAAGTCCTTATCTTGTTCCTGGCAATTTCACCCAACCGATTTCACTTAATCCTCACACATATCTTGCAGAAATCAGAATTATTATTTCTGCTTTTTAGAGATGAGGACACTGAGACTCATGGAAGTTCAATAACATGACCAAGGTCACACAGCTAAAGTAAGTAAAGTAGGGATTCAAACCCAGGGTAAGCAGACCGACTAGCCAATTCATTTATTAGCAGAAAACTCAATTCGCTGCAAGTCAAATCCCCAGAAGTCGATTCATGAAAGGCCATAGCTGTGTCACGGTCAGAGGTGGGAACAGGGCAGAACCAGGACAGGGACCATTTTCCAAAACTTGAATAAAAATACCCAATAATTGAGTGAATTGTTTGTTCAGCAAATTGCTTTCAGGAATTGACCCAATGATGAGCCCAGGCCTGTCAACCTGTAAAATCCAGTTTTTCACACTTGCTGTATTGAGGTAGCTAAATTTTCACTATGTATTAAAATTATATTAAAAATAGCAAATGTTTATTCATGGCTTACTACCTTATGTGCCAGGCACTGGGCCAAGTGCTTTAAAGGTCATTTAATTCTTACAGTAACTCAGAGAAGTTAAGTAACTTGCTCAAAGTTGTATAGCTGATAAAGGGGTGGAGCTCCAGAGTATACTAGCTCATTACAGATAACTACTGCCCTCTCCTTTTTAAACAAATTGAGCTATTTACTAATTGGACTGGTCCCTTTTCATAGCTTGAACTGTGAGATTCCTTCTGAGAAAAGGAAGAAAACATAGATTTTGCCTTTCTCTGGTCTTAAACCTACTTTCAGGCTTCCTTGATATTTCTCACATTAATATATGACATTACAAGTGCGTTATGTCATTTACATGTTATTTATTATTTTAATGCTGTTCTCCTTCCTCCAAACTGAGCAAATACAGGCATCCCTCCACATCAGCAGTTTCCGTTTCTGCAGTTTCAGTTACCTGCAGTCAACCGTAGTCCAAAAATATTAAGTAAAAAGTTCCAGAAATAAACAATTTATTTTTTTTTAAATTATATATTTTAAATTGCAGGCCATTTTGAGTAGCTTCATGATATGTTGGGCCATCCTTCTCCACCTCACCCTGAGCAAATCATCCTTTTGTCCAGCGTCTACACACTGTATACACCACTTGTCCGTTAGTCACTAAGTAGCTATCTCAGTTATCAGATTGACTGTCATGGTATCACAGGGCTAGTGTTCAAGTAACCCTCGTTTTACTTAGTAATGGCACCAAAGTGCAAGAGTAGTGATGCTGGACATTTGGATATGCCAGAGAGAAGCCATAAAGTTCTTCTTTAAGTGAAAAAAAAAACCAAAAACCCTAGTATATATAGGATTCAGTAGTAGCCCCAGTTTTAAGCATCCACTGGGGGTCTTAGAACATATCCCCCAAGAATAAGGGGGGAGACTACTGTACAAAGTCCATGTTTATTTATTTCAAAATATATACAACATGCTCTGAAGGCCCACTTCCATCCTGACACATTTGCACTTAAATACAAACATTTAGAATATGATGTGGTGGATAATTATCA